GAAGGGGCCATAGTTCCCCCATGCTGGCTGAGGAATTCTGGGAGTTGAAGTCCGCGAGTCAGGAAGGGGCCATAGTTCCCCCATGCTGGCTGAGGAATTCTGGGAGTTGAAGTCCACCAGTCATAAAAGAGCCAAGGTTGCCTACCCCTGGACTATGGGGTCACTGCAGCAGTCACTAAGTGTGAAAAACGGTCCCGGGTCCCTTTTTTCAGCCCCCTTGTAACGTCGGTCACTAAACGAACTGTGGGAAGTGGAGGTGTGTCTGCACAACTCCGAGACTTCCCACCTGGCGGGTCCGAAGGCTGCACACGTGCGCGTTGCGATCGCTGAAAAACGCAACCCGCGTTTTGTCGGTGGGGAGCGCTTCTACTTCGCTCTTCCTTTCCCTTCCCGGACCCCCTCTAGGGAATCCCCCTTATCGATCGGGGGGACCAAGATCAAAAAGAATCTGACTGTGCCCCGCATGACGGAGAAGGATTTGAAACGCAACTTCACCTGCTTCGCCCAGAACAACCGGGGCATCGTGCACGCCCAGGCGGACGTGAGGATGAAACGTAAGGAAATTCGCCCCCACGCCCCAAAAAAAGCAGCCCCTGGTTTTTCTGGAAATCTGGAAGAAGGATTTGGGGGGGGGGGCTTTATTTATTATTTTTAAGAAAATTTTATTGATTTTCTAGTTTTACATTTGAATAGTTGAAAAGCAACGTGGCGGCTGAGTTGGTCCATAATTCGACAACGTACACATTTCTTTAGTACAGATCACAAACTATTTATTACATTAGATCAGGAGAGGTTCTTTTATGACTCGTGGACTTCAATTCCCAGAATTCCTGAGCCAGCTAAGCTGGCTCAGGAATTCTGGGAGTTGAAGTCCACGAGTCATAAAAGAGCCAAGGTTGACTACCCCTGCGTTAGATATTTCCTCTCTCTTTTCCCCCTTGGTATTTACCGTCTCACATTTAAATGGATGCAGTTCTTATTTATATCGATTAAATAAAAATAACTTCCTTACACTTCTCAGTAATTTTTAGTTTATACATATCCTAGTTATTTTAACGTTCAGTTTTTTTAGACAATCAATGTCCTGGTTAGTTTTTCCATATAAGGAACGGTTGCTGGAATTGGGCATGTCTAGTTTAATGAAGAGAAGGACGAGGGGGGACAGGATAGCAGTCTTCCAGTATCTCAGGGGCTGCCCCAAAGAAGA